TCTTACCAATAAAGGACAAGATCATTCAAACAGAAAAACCATTTGAGAAAAATCTAGCACACCCAATGCTCCATATCCTGATATGAGCAACTGTTAAAAACCCAGTTAACAGCCTCACCTACAGAGAAACCCAATCTCAAAAGACAAAAAAGAAAAAAGAAAAAAGAATCAAAAAACAAGCAAAATTCCCCATTTAACAATGCGACAGACCCATAGAAACCGTTATTGCTGAAAAGCACTGATTCCTCAATTGGGCCTATACTTACCAAAAGCAGAATGAACCCTGGATCTCAGCCTTCATTTTACATTTGTAAATTTTTACATTCCTTTACTTTGGGTTCATCACCTGTTTAATGCCACAGAGTTAAGTGTGTGAATGCCTATCTGAAATCTGATGACCTCTGTGGTAGTTTGAAAGAAAATGGCCCCCCAAGGGAGCGGCACTATTAGAAGGTGTGGTCTTATTAGAGGAAGTGTATCACTGTGGAGGCGGGCTTTGAGGTCTCATATATACTCAAGATACTGAGCAATGTCTCAGATCACTTCCTGTTGCCTGTGAGTCAAGATGTAAGAATGTTCCAGGTTCTTCTCCAGTACCATGTCTGCCTGAATGCTGCCTTGCTTCCCGCCATGATGATAATGGGCTAAACCTCTGAAACTGTAAACATGCCACCACAATTAAATGTTTTCCTTTATAAGAGTTGCCATGGGTACGGTGTCCCTTTGCAGCAAGAGAAACCCTAACACAACCCCTAACAGTGGTGAGAGTAACTGAGACATCATCTGTCAGCTTGTATCATGTCATATTCTGTTCTTCCAAAGGACACCTGAAGGTTGCCAGTTATTATCCCAAACCTCCAGTCATCTTGAAATCCAAGAAAAACAGATATCTAAAGTTGAAAGGGTTCTTAGTGAATTCTCATTAGAGCCTCCAAAAGGAAGTTCAGACAGGCCAAACCCTAATTTTGGTCCAATCAGACCCATTTTAGAATTCTGTCCTTTAAAACTGTACAGTAATAAACTTGTACTGTTTCAAACCACTGCATTGGGTGCTTGTTACAGCAGCACTGGGAAACTAATACAAGGTAAATACATTGATTGAGTTTCTGATGTTAAAACCCAAGCAATCATAATATCATTTTGCAGATGCTAGATTTGGGTATTGCAGGTTTTGTTGAGAATTTTTGAGCCTGTATTCATACGAGGCCTTGATTTGTTCTCTTTTCCTCTCTTTCTTCCTGACTTCCTTTTTTTTTTTTTTTTTTTTTTTTGGTTTTTCGAGACAGGGTTTCTCTGTACTGTTTTGGAGGCTGTCCTGGAACTCACTCTACTGTAGACCAGGCTGGCCTCGAACTCACAGAGATCCGCCTGCCTCTGCCTCCTGAGTGCTGGGATTAAAGTTGTGTGCCACCAACACCAGGCTTCCTAACTTCCTTTCTTTTATGTTATCTTTGACTATATTTGATGTCAGGACAGTGTGGCCTTCAACAGAATGAGCTGAGAAGTGTTTCCCTTCCTTCTACAAAGTCTCTCTAGCTTTGAACAGTAGTTCTTTGTGTGCTGTATCTTTGTCTGTCTCATTACTTTTAACTTGTGATTTTGTTTTTTGGGGTGCTGGAGTTGTACCCAGGATCTTGCACATGCTAAGCAAGCATTGTGCCATTAACTTAGACCCCTAACCTGAAATCTGTATTTTTTTTCTTTTTAATTTACTTTTTTAAAATGTTGTATATTCCTGTGTTGGGGGTGGTAATATGTACATGTTTGTGTGCCTTTGAAAGCCAGAGATAACATTAGTTGTCCTTCAGGAATCATTCACGGAGACTCATACCAGCACTAGAATTACAAGTGTGCAATATCTTACTTTTCTTTTTTTTTTGTTTTGTTTTGTTTTGTTTTGTTTTGTTTTGTTTTTTTTGAAACAGGGTTTCTCTAGCTTTGGAGCCTGTCCTGGAATTCGCTCTGTAGACCAGGCTGGCCTTGAACTCACAGAGATCCTCCTGCCTCTGCCTTCCAAGTGTTGAGGTTAAAGGCACATACCACCATGTCCAGCAAAATAAATAATTTTTAATGTGCTTTATAAATTACATTTGTTTGTGTGTAGAGGGGTGCATGTGTCATCTAGTGTGTGTGTAGAGGTCAGACTAGTCATTGACCAGCCCCATTGTGCTTTATATTTCATGTTTTTAATTCTTCCAATAACCATGTAATAGATATCATCACACCTAGATTTTGTTTCTTCTTTATGCCAAGACAGAATCTTATGAGCTAGGTCAGCCTTAAATTCCTCACTCTCCTACATATACTTCCCAAGTACTAATATTACAGACATGCATTATCACACCCAGCTTACATCCAGTTTACATATGAAACAACATTAAATATATTTTATTATTATAAATTAATATATTGTTGTTGCTCTCTTTTATAGATCGTTCACGAGAAGTCTTGGAGCAATTAGTAGGATCAAGAAAACTAAAACAAGTGACTTGGTCTGTTTATTGATGTTTACTGAGGCTGATCTCAGGAACCTGTCCAGAATATGCTCTATAAATAACTTGTTTTTCACTTAACACTAATTTATTATTTTGTCTTAGTTAAGCTGTAACTCCCAGAGAATCAGTTCAATCTTAATGTAAATGTTTGTGCTTTTAAGTTAACCAGCCTCAGCATTTTGACATTTCTATTATCCCCTGTTTGTTTGATGAGCCATCTATTTATTTTAATGGTGATCCTGGTGTGTGTGTGAACTGTACTTGATGGAGAGTAGGCTGGGTTTGTTTCTTTAATAGCAAAAGTTCAAATAACTTATTTTCCCTATAGTCCTTTCTCTGGTGTAGGTATTTGAGCTGTTGTAAGAGACATTATGGGTAGAATTCTAAATAAAGATGCTCTTAAAAGTGTAATTACCTTCTGAGTTGATTTCTGGCTTTTACCTTCACAAAATGTTCATCCAAAAGCAAAGTGGAACACAAGCCCTGTTACCTCTTTACAGAAACAGATATACTTGTTTCTCTGAAATCAATGGTAATAATTTGCCCACTAAAATGAAACAGTCAGCAGCAAAAGTGGCTCAATGCTAGAGCACTTGCCTCACTTGAGTGACACTAGGGTTGGATTCTCAACACCAAAAAATTAAAATTTACAAAAAAAGGGGTGGACGGCCGCTCAACATATTCACAGTACGGAGGCTTTTGCTCAGACACTCATTTCATTGATTCTTACCCCGCTCAGTTCTAGGGCTTGATCTCAGGACCTCATACATACTAGGCAGGCGTGCTACCACTGAGCTATATCCCTGTCACGCCTGCTGCGCAGCCTGTATCTGAGAATGTGCAGAGGGTGTCAGGATTGATGACACAGAGACCCGTTGGTGGTGCAAAGAAAACTTGAAGGCTTCCAGAAGGCTCCTCAAGAAGGTTCTTTATTCCTACCCCGGCTGGTTATATATACCCTGACACCAGAGGTGGAAGTGGGTGGGTCAGGAAGAGGCGGTTAGTCTTTGGGAAAAGGCCAAGATCAGAGGATTCCCGTGGGTGAGCCCTTATCAGGAACTTATTGATCCAGGCACCGTATTGTTTTTAGTAAACATTGTCTTACAGCTGCCTGCTCCCAGGCTGATGGGGAAGTGGGACCTCGGGTCAAGGTCTGTTGTTCCCACATATCCCAAAGCAATTTCATTGGGTTTTATGGCTGCTCTTTCCAAGTACATTTTGTTTATCTATGAGCTTCTTCTTTGGCAAAAATGGATTCATAGTGTGTGATGTTTTACTGGGTATTGAACCTAGGGTTCCATGCATGCTAGGTAGGTACTGTACCATTAGACTATCTCCAATCCCAGAAGTGTGTAAAAATTAAATATGAAATGCTATTATAGAGCTGGATGTGGTGGTTACACATCTTTAATTCTAGCTCTCAGGAGGCAGAGGCAGAAGCAGGAAGTTATCTGTAAGTTTGAGGCCAGCATGTTCTAGGCCAGCTAGAGCTACAAAGTGAGACCCTGTTCTCAAAAAAAAAAAAAAAAAAAAGGAAAAAGGACCATTATAGGGATTGTTTACTGAAGCTCTACTAATTTCACAGAAGTTCATTCCTAGCAGTACTCTAGCAGACAATAACCAGATCATCCTTTGTTTGTTTGTTTTTAACCAATTAGAGTAGTAATCTGTAATGACTGCCCAAGACTTGAATTGAAAGCTAATCTATCCCCCATGCAGTAATGCTCATAAGTGGATCATGAGGTCTCTGACCTCACTAATGGATTAGTTCACTAATGGTGCGGCTTTGCTGGAAGAAAAAGTCAGTCCAGTTATGTCCTTGGAGGGTTTAATCTTATTCCTGGTACCTGGCCACCTGCTTCCTGGACACCATAATGCGAGAAGCCACTTCTATTGCATACTGTTGTTGCCAAAATATCCCACCTTGCCTCTGCACAAGACAATGGAGCCAGCAAAGCAAGGATCAAAGCCTAATAAACTGAGCCAAAATAAATCAGCCCTTTTAAAGTTGATTTTGTGAGCGATTTTGTTACAGTAACAGAAAGGTAACAATTCCAGTTCCTTATCTTTCTGAGATATTTTATTAATTCTGCAGCAAACTGTGTATATTATATCCATACATATAGAGACACACTTTATATATAATCAGTTGTATATTATACATACTATTCACATTATTTTTGTTTATAGTACAGTGTTTTGCTGTTATAAAATCCTGACAACCTGGTATATGAAATGGGAACATAACCATTACAAACTTTAGTAAACCATATAGAGTTATCCAAGGTGTTACAGCAAAGGAAGGAGGAAATTTCTTTTTTCTTTTTCTTTCTTTCTTTTTTTTTTGAGACAGGGTCTCACTGCATAGCTCTGGCTGTCCTAGAACTCACTGTAGACCATGCTGGCCTCAAACTCACAGAGATCCACCTGCCTCTGCCTCCCAAGTACTGGGATTAAAAGTATGCACCACTATGCAGGGATGCACAGAGGAAATTTCAAATAACTTTCTCCGTGAGATAGGGTCTCACTATGTAGCTCTGGCTGTCCTGGAACTAATTCACTATGTAGACCACTCTGGCTTCAGACTCACAAAGGTCAGCCTACCTCAGCTTCCCAAGTGGTAATATTCAAGCCTCAAGTCACCACATCCCACTGAATTGCATTCCTTAAACTATACCTCCAACAAAGGAAATGTTTAAATTTTAATACAAACAGAACTACACTCATACTTGAAAGTACTCTGACAAATCAGGGATGAAAATCCCACACTGCGCTTGTGGTCAGTCCATTATTATCCTGCTGAGTTGGCTCTGGAAGAGTGTATTCTTCTAGTTGGTGCAGCTGATGCCGAATGCTATGTCCACTGAATTGGGGCCTCCCAGGGTCACCAATCAATACTCGGGTTCTGTAGGTCCAAAAGTAGTTCTCCAGCCACAGATGCAGACTGTCTGCAAGATCTTCATCATAAAACATATCTCCAAGTACAATGAGATCAAACTTACCTTGTTGGGTATTCAAAATGTTTTTGGTTAAAACGGGAAAAGGATTCAGTCCATTTAATTTGCAATTTAGTGTAATCGCCATTCCTGCAACTTAAAAACATGATAAATCAGTCTATAAGCATGTATCAGTAGGCTATTTTAATATCTTATTAAGGTGTTTAAAAACATATTTTTTCTATTTCAGCCCAAGATTTCTCAAAACAGAAGTATTTATCAACAATGATTAATATGAATTCTACATAAAGAGTTCTTTAACATATAAACAATTTTATTCTCTTTGAGTGAGATAAATTTAACAGACAATGTGCCTCTTTCTCTACTCAGGAATAGTATTTAGAAATTTTTCCAATTTAGTAATTATGTATTAATTATTAAAATTTCACAAAAACATCCTGTAACTCCATGACATGTAAGCCTTGTTTATATAGTCTGTTTCATTTGCTATTTAGAACTCTTGACCAAGATCTTAATTCTGATGAGGAAATAATTTGTTACCTTTTTGGGAAAGAGTTATAATATCTCTGTAATATTATGCCCACAAACCTTGCATAAATATGTCCTTCCTAGAAAATGCCATTTTTGCAAATTGGAAAAGTCAGTGGGGGGGATATAGTCTGAGTTTCTGTGGTTAAACACCTTTTTTAACCTAACAATAGGGGCCAGTGAGATGGCTCTGCAGGTTAAGATGCTTGCCACTAAATCTAACAAGAGTTCAACACCTGAAGGCCAGGCATGGTGGCATACAACTTCAATCCCAGCACTCAGGAGGCAGTGACAGGCAGATCTCTGTGAATCTGAGGCTAGCCTGGTCTATATAAGGAGTTCTAGGACAGCCAGGACTACACAGAAAGAACCTGTCTCAACAAACCAAACAACAAACAAACAAAGAGTTTAATGCCTAAAGCAGACATGGTGGAAAGAGGAAAACTCCCCCATGGAATGTGCACTGTGACACACACACACACACACACACACACACACACACACACACACACACACACACACACACTGTAAAAATAACCCAATACTTAACCTCCCTTGTTAAAAGGGATTTTGTCGTTGAATTTAACTTCATGTGCATTGGTGTTTTGTCTGCATTAATGTCTGCGTGAAAGTGTCGGATACCCTGAAACTGTAGTTACAGACAGTTGTGAGCTGCCATATTGGTGCTGGGAATTGAACCTGGGTCCTCTGGAATAGCAGCCCGTGCTCTTAACCACTAAACCATCTCTCCAGCCCCTATTGTTGTTTTTTAGGGAAAGAAGTTCAAAGTTTATGTCAGTATAAACTATATACTGGCTGGGCATGATGAGGCATACCTGTCACTTGCAGGAAGATTCCTACAAGTATTAGCCAATCTGGGCTACAAAGAGAAATACCAAGCCAGCTGGGTCTATAGCTTAATACCCTGTCTCAAAAAACAAAACAAAGAGGCTGGGCATAGTGGTACATGCCTATAATCCCAGCACTTGAGAGATGGAAATAGGAAGAAATCCAAGGTCATCCTTAGCTACATAGCTAGCTGAGGCCATCCTGGGCTATGTGAAACTCTGTCTCAAAAAAAAGGGAGGGAGGGAGGGAGGGAGGGAGGGAGGGAGGGAGGGAGGGAGGGAGGGAGGGAGGGAGGGAGGGAGGGAGGGAGGGAAGAGGAATTGGTCTAGGAGAGAGATAAGGTTATCCTGACTCCATACCCATCTCCCAGAACTACATCCTGCTTGACAGAACAGTTTCTCCCTTCTCAGAAATGATGCTTGTAAAATGTTTAACACACCAGTGTTCCTCCTCCCTTGGTGGGAAATGATCCCTTGTTTAAAGTAAAAACTGCCCTAGCCTGCACCTGTTATGATTTAATTGTGGTCTTTTATCTTTATAAATTCTGGGGTATTTAATCTAGGGACTGAGAGTTCATTGTGACAAAAGCCTACTCTCAGTCTCTAGCTTAAATAAAGGACTCTTATTTGGCCTTATAGTCATGGTGGTCTATAACTTTCTCATGTGGACTATAACCAAAGAAGGAAAAGTTTTAAAAGCTATATATTGAATATAGAACAGCAATGGTGGGATTTTTAGGACCATTTTCTGGTTATTTTTTGTATGTTTGTTTAATGTAGACAGAAAAACAACTGTTGGGCTTGATTAAGTTACAAGTGAAACCTCTTAATAAAATAAGACCCCTGGAGTGCCCTACCCTAAATGAAGGTAGGATCAGAATAAAAAAAAATCAGATGAACTCTGGAGTCTACCTGCCTCTGCATCCTGAGTGCAGGAATTAAAGGTATGGGCTGTCATACCCAATACAACTTGGGTCTTAATGCAGTAAAAATATCCACTAAAGACACAAAGTTATCTTTACTTGGATTTTGTGTCAATAAGCATTCCTTACACATTTCAGGGAATTCTCAACCCAGAAGCTAACATGCATGCCCCAGGTTTGTATCCCTCTGGAATGTCTGACAAACAAATCAAATCCTCTTGGGGATATGCACCATCAATTCAGGCCCCAGATAATGTCCCACTGAACATCTCACAGTATCAGATTACAAAACAAGGCAATAAGCTATCATGATGTATATAACCTGAAAGGGGGGGGGGTGTGCTGTAAATGCTTTGAAATATGCGGTCCTTACTGGGGTCTATGTCGTTGGCCAAGACCTTTGATGCTCCGCTCATCTTAGCAGCAATTGCTGTAGCCCCACATCCACTCCCAAGATCTAAGACAGACTTTCCTCTGACAACATCAGGGTTATCCAAAAGATACCTAAATTAGAAAGAAAAGAGAAAATACCTGAGGTATAGAAAAACACAATGAGAAATATAAAAAACAATTAAAAATAAACCAAAACTGTGGGAACAAGAGACCTTGGCCAGAGGCCCACTTCCCCATCAGCCTGGGAGCAGGCAGCTGTAACTGACCGCAGAGAAAGCATGTTTACTAAAAACAATCCAGTGCCCGTAATCATAAAGAAAAACATGTTTACTGGAGCTGTAAGTTCCTGATAAGGGCTCAACGACGGGAACACCCTGACCTTTCCAATGACTAACCGCCACTTCCTGGCCCCCTGCCCCCGCCTCGGGAGTCAGGGTATATAACCAGCCGGGGTAAGAATAAAGTGAAGCCTTCTTTCACCACCGACTGATCTCTGTGTCATCAATCCCAACACCCTCCGCAGATTCTCGGTCCCAGGCTGCTCGGGCGCAGCACAAAACAAGCAAGATGCTTCAGCAGATAAAGGTGCTTGCTGCCAAGTCTGATGACCCAAGTTCAACAAAATGGAAGGAAAGAACCAATACATGAAAGTTGTCCTGACCTTCACATGCACACTATGGCATACCTGAGTTACCACACACAAACACACAAAGCAATTAATTAAAGGTAAATTTTCCCCCGTGGTAGAGAACCTAACTGACCTAGACTATCAGTAATACTATTCCTGGGGAACAAGAATACCTTTTGTTTGACAGCTATATATACCCTTAAGACATAACCAGATGAAATCATGACCAATGCTAGAGCAAAGAGTACACGGACATGTTAAAAGTACTTGCCTTATGCCAGTCAGTGGTGGTGCACACTTTTAACCCCAGCACTCAAGAGGCAGAGGCAGGTGGATTCTTGAGTCAGGGCAAGCCTGGTCTACAGAACTAGTTTCAGGACAGCCAGGGCTACACAAAGAAACCCTGTCTCAAGAATAAAGAAAAAAGTACTTGCCTTTGTTTCAGCTACTATTTCTTAAAAAAAAAAAAGTATAGTTGCAGCTATATGAAAAAAACAAGATGGACAGGAGAAAATTAAAAATACAGAATCAGGGCTGGAGAGATGAATCAGAGGCTAAGAGCACTGGCTGCTCTCCCTTAGGTCTGGAGTTCAATTCTCAGCAACCATAAGGGCTCACAACCCTCTGTAGTGAGATTGGATTCTCTCTTCTAGTGTGCAGACATACATGCAGATAGAGCACTCATATACATATAATAAATAAATCTTTAAAAATTGTTTTTAAAATACACAAGTCAAATGCAGGGTCCACCTAAGATGTCCTGGAGTTGCCACAGAAGAGAAAATCCCAAATGACCACTCATATTTCTTGTGTGCTGAAAAGGTAGTCTTAGGAGAGGGTGGAATTTACAGTATTAAAAGCAGGATCGTGGAAGGGCTGGGTCTTTAGGATCCATCTAAGAACTCTGTACTGACTGTTGATAATGTCCATGAACTTGAGCACAAAGACATATGAATCTTTCATGGTCACATAGGTTCTTTAACAGCTGGCATTAGTTTCTCGTGGGGTAGAAGCTTTATTTATGGATATGCCTTAAAAATCTTGTGTAATGGGGATGAAACTATGCAACACAACACCAAAGGTATGACCAAACTGCTATCAAAACAAGACTTTGGGGGTGAGGAGTATGTTACAAAAGTTAGTATGAGGGCTGGAAAGTTGGCTCAGCGGTTAAGAGCTCTTGTTACTCTTGTAGAAGATCCAGGTTCAAGTCCCAGAATCCACATGACGGCTCACAGCTGTCTGTAACTCTTATCTTCATGGGCACCAGGCAAACAAGAGGTATACAAACATACATTCAGGCAAAATACTCATTCACAAAATAGACAAATCCAAAAGAAAGCTTAAAAGAAAAAGTTGCTTAATGGCACACGCCTTTAATCCCAACACTCAGAGGAAGAGGCAGGTGGATCTCTGTGAGATCCAGGCCAGCCTGGTCTACATAATAAGTTCCAGGACAGCCAGAGTCTCTGCCTCAAAAAACAAAAAGTTAATATGACTCATTGCTATAACCAAATACCTGACAAGAAATTTTTAAGGGAGGAAGCATTTACTTTGAAGGAACAGTTTGGAGATATAACCTATCATGGAAGGTCTGGCAGTTGGGGGCTGTGGCAGCAGATGTATGAGATCGTTTGCTTGTCAGTATAAATTACGAAGGAAAGAATTCTAGGACTCGCCGGGCATTGGTGGCGCACGCCTTTAATCCCAGCACTCGGGAGGCAGACACAGGTGGATCACTGTGAGTTCGAGACCAGCCTGGTCTACCAAGTGAGTTCCAGGACAGGCTCCAAAACAATACAGAGAAACCCTGTCTCGAAAAACCAAAAAAAAAAAAAAAAAAAAGGAAGTCCAGACTCTTTTCTCCAGTAAGAGAAATACTTAGATAAACAATTATGGAGTAAATACTTAAGTCAGAGCTAGCCAGTAAGAAACAAGCAAGGCCAACAGCTTCATAATTAATATAGCCTGTGTGTTCATTTGGGACTGCTGCGGCTCTGGAACCAGGCTGGCGGGAAGGCTTCCCTCAACATTGGCTAGTGTTTGGTTTTAATTGTTTTGTTTTGTAAGTGCCTCACCAGGTTGGCCTGTGAGCCTATGAGACATTTTCTTTTTTTTTGGTGGGGAGGGGAGCATTTTCTTGTTTAATGATTTGCTGGAGTTCAACACCAGGTCCCAAAGAGGAGGTGTAGAGTCGGTGAGGTAAAGGAACAGACTGACAGGATCTGAGGGTGAATCTGGACAGCTGCTACTTTACTGAAAATAACTTTTATAATCTGTAGTTGCACAGAAAATTAAATGGGTGAAAGAGGAAAAGAGAGTTGGGGTGTGGCTTGTGATCAGGGACTAAGGAAGTTAGAATTGACCTTGACAAGTTAATAGTCACCACAGTCATATGTTAATGAAAGAGCCACAAGTTCCTCTTGCCAGAGATAAAAATGACTCACTTTTTAGCAAGGAGGAACTTTCTTCAAGACCCTGAGGGAATAGGGGCTGTCTTAGAGTTTTATTGCTGTGAAAAGACACCATAGCCATAGCAACCCATATAAGGAAAACACCCAATTGGGGTGGTTTGATTATAGTTCAGAGGTTCAGTCCATTATCATCATGGTGGGGAGCATGCAGGTAGACATGGTGGTGGAGAGGTAGTTCAGAATCCTACAGATTACAGCAGCAGGAAGTCAACTGAGACACTGGGTGGTACCCTAAGCATAGGAAACCTCAAACACGGCCCCCACAGTGACACACTTCCTCCAACAAAACCATACCCTCTCCAGCAAAGCTACACTTCCTATTAGTGCCATTCCCTATAAGATGGGGGCCAATTACATTCAAACTACCACATTCTATTCCCTGACCCCTATTAAGCTTGTAGCCATTATCAGGATGCAAAACGCATTTAGTCCAACTTCAAAAGTCCCCATGGTCTATCACAGTCTCAACAGTGTTTAAAAGTCCAAATTTCATACCGGGCGTTGGTGGTGGCGCACGCCTTTGATCCCAGCACTCAGGAGGCAGAGGCAGGCAGATCTCTGTGAGTTCGAGACCAGCCTGGACTACCAAGCGAGTTCCAGGACAGTCTCCAAAGCCACAGAGAAACCCTGTCTCGAAAAACCAAAAAAAACAAAAAACAAAAGCAAAAAGTCCAAATTTCAGCTGGGCATCGGTGGCACATGCCTTTAATCCCAGCACTCGGGAGACAGGCAGGCGGATCTCTGTGAGTTCGAGGCCAGCCTGGTCTACAAGAGCTAGTTCCAGGACAGCTGCAATACAGAGAAACCCTGTCTCGAAAAACAAAAAATAATAAAAATAAAAATAAATAAAAGTTCAAAGTCTCTTCTGAAAATCATACAATCTCTTTATCTGTAATTACCTATAAAACTCAAAGTAAAAAAGCAGATCACATATTTCCAACATATAATGGCATAGGATGAAGAACCCAGGCCCTTGCCCAGACTCCTGTCTTGGCCATTCCCACCCATAGCAGGCTGCAGAAAAGACCCAGCAGGATGTACTGTATCCTGACCTTGTCTTCATTGGTAAAAAGAAACTCGGATATATCCCATATATGATAAAGAACCAATTAGGAGCTAACAGGCTCTGAATGTGCTTCCCTGATAAAGATGGAATTAGTAACCACAGCATCTGCCCAAGAGATAGCAATCTCCCTGCAGCTGCAACTAACCAATTAACCAAAGTTAGGTGCCCCCGGCTCTAAGGTACACCAATCCTGAGTCTGTTCCTATGCAGTCTGTAGCCCCCTAAACCCTCCTTGCTTTACCCCCCCCAATATATTTGCTACTCCATTGCTACTCAGGGTCTCTCCTACTCCACCACTGTGACGGACAGACAAGAGACCAGGTTCCAACTCACAATTAAGATTCTTTGCGCTGGGTGGTGGTGGTGCATGCCTTTAGTTCCAGCACTCGGGAGGCAGAGGCAGACAGATCTCTATGAGTTCGGGACCAGCCTGGTCTACAAGAGCCAGTTCCAGGACAGCCTCAAAAGTCATAGAGAAACCCTGTCTTGAAAAAAACAACAAAAAAATATTCTTTGTTTTTGCATCAGATTTGGTCTTCAGACTGGGCATAGCAAGGATATACAATACCACTCCAAAATTAGGGGAAGGGCACACAGAGGGGAAATACCAGACAAAAGCAAGGCCAAAAACCAGCTGAGTAAACTCCAAATTCTTCATTTCCATATCTGATGACAAATCGCTCTTCAGGTCCCCAACTCCTTTCAGCTTTGTTGACTGCAGCACACTTCTCTCTCTTGGGCTGGTTCCACTCCCTGTTAGCAGCTCTCCTGAGCAGGTATCCCAAGGCTCTGACATCTCCAACATCTCGGGTTCTCTAAGACAATCCAGGCTTCAATTTCAGTGTCACACAACAGCCTCTCTGGGCCTCCATTCAGGGACACCCCTGACACATGCCTGAGCTCAGAGGCTTTCCTTAGTCTCAGGGGCAAATTCTATAGCCCCTTTATTCTATCCTTAACTCCAGAAGCTGCCAAGTTCTGCTGCTTACTGGGGCTGGACATGGTCTCCTTGTTCAGTTACATCTTCACCAATTTTCTGTCCTTTATTGCCTAAGCTTGGCTGTCCTGAGACTGGATCTCTAGACCAGATCTCAAACTCAGAGATCTGCATGCCTCAGTCTCCTAGTGCTGAGATTAAAGGTGTGCACCATCACAAGTGGCTCTAAGCTTTTCTTTAATTCTTTTCCACAAGTTGAAAGGTTAGATGGGTGGGGTCTTATCTGTTATTTCATTTAATATTCTGCTCTTCTTTAATCTGTTGATCTGCCTGAACATAGGACTTAGCTCCATTCTACTTCCTGGTGCCCCTTTTCTCCTTGAACTACATACATTTTGCATTTTTTTCCTTGCTCAGCTTGCTCCTTTTCATCATAAATCTTCATCAGAGTTAACACTAATAACCATACAACAGTCTGTATTAGGATGTTTTCAGATTTCCTCTGCCAACAGAAATTAGCCACAGGCCGACTCTTTGCACAAGGACAAAAGCAGTCGCGTTCTTCACCAACATATCTCACAGACTATTTCTAGGCAATGTACTAAAATTCTTCTCTGAAATCTCTTGATCCAGTCATGGACAACTCAAATCATTATCATCCCCACTGTCTTCCATGCTCCTAGTATGTATGACCCATTAAGCAATGCTTAAAGCATTCCACTGCTTTCCTAACCCAAACTACCAAAGCCCAAATCCCTACAAACAAACCATGGTCAGGCCTATCACAACAATACCTCAGTCTCTGGTACCAACTTCTGTCTTAGTTAGGGTTTCTATTGCTGTAAAGAGACACCGAAACCACAGCAACTCGTATAAAGGATAACATTTAATTAAGGTAACAGCTTCCAGCTCAGAGATTCAGTCCATCATCATCATTCACGGGGAGCATGGCAGTGTGTAGGCAGACATGGTGCTGGCTACATCTCGATCAGGAGGCAACAGGAAGTGGGCTCTGACACTGAGCAAAGCTTATGCAAAATAGACCTCAAAGCCCGCCCCCACAGTGACACACTTCCTTCAACGAGGCCGTACCCCTCCAACGAAACCTCACCCTCTAATAGTGCCACTCCCTATGAGATTATGGGGGCCAATTACATTCAGACTATCACAGGGTCTTTTGTCTAAATGCCTGACCTCGGGAAAAGGACTTTCTTGGGGGACTAGACACTCCATTACAGAATATTGCAGTTTTTTACATATGGCTTAATTTATCCAAATAGCTAAAGCTTAAAGTAAGCAAAGACAAAGCTAGACAAATGTTACTGTGAACCTTAGGAATTTATATATCCTGATTATCAAATATACCTTATTTATCAAGCATATTGTCTAAATTTTCTAGCAGCTTAGTGTTAACTCGTATGGGAGCAGGCAGAATTATCACACTATATAGTTCTACAGTGGCAGGGATTTTTTTTCCAAGAATCATTTTGTTTACAGAGGTTGCCACTTTATACATTTTCATCCTTCAAAGCCCACACAAAATTTCCCAAAGGGAAAGGCAATAAAGTAACTCTCATAGCACACAGTTAAGAATCATTAAAAATGAAAGTGAAAGGGTGCTTGAGAATTGTGACCCACAAAGTTGAAATGCTGGAAGTTTGCCAAAGCAGCAATGGTCCCCATGTGGTTCACACCAATGATCGATGTGGGAGGGTCCAGTTCACTGGGGACAATGCACTGGGGCAGGCGATCCTGTAGGGTATTAGAAAGCAGGCTGAGCAAGCCACGTAGAGCAAGCCAGTAAGCAAGGATCCTCCACGGCCTCTGCTTCAATTCCTGCCTCCAAGTTCCTGACTTGAGTTCCTGCCCTGATTTTCCAGTTGATGGACGTGACCTCAAAGTGTACAATGAAATAAACCCTTCCCTCCCCAAGTTGCTTTTGGTTGTGGTTTTTTTTTTTATTACAGCAATGGAAACCCTAACAAAAGCACACCCTCACAGCCATGCCCAGAGGTGTGTCCTGTAGGTAATTCAAAGTTCAACTGAGTTGACAACAAAGGTTACCCATGACAGGTGTGAAGACAACTATTTTGTCACTACAGTATCCACATCTATGACTTTTGTGGAGCCCAGCTAAAGCAGCAGTGACCAGTTCTGGATGCAGCTACAGCCCTCTCTGAATTTTTTAGTTGACAATCCTCGTCTTCTCTCCTGGTCTCAGTTGAAAACCTAAAAACCTACCTCAAGAGGCCTCAACACTCCAACGCCCCACCACCACCACCACAGCAAGTGCCAAAGCCAAGCATGTAAGTACACAGAGACTATTTAAATTTTTTAAAAGACACCATTGGTACATAATCCCAGGATATCTTCAAACTCCCAACCCTCCTGGCTCAGCTTCCAAGTGCTAAGATTACAAGGGTACACACACACACACACACACACACACACACACACACACCATCATGGCCTTTTAGGAGATGGCTTTTTCTTCCCATAGGACAAACCGTCTTCTATTTTAGGAGAAGGAAAGCAACCCAAACCATATACAAGTTGGGACCTATGAGCCCCAGTGACTTCCTGGTTTTGCTGTTCGAGGTGGGGTGAGTGCTGAAAAAATTACTCTTCAATAGCCATTAGTCACATTTCAACAAGACATACCTAGACAGGGCCTGGCCACCTGGCCAGTAGATTGCCCAGTAGGGATCACTGTAGGGCCACAGCTCAGCCCTTTCCCACCAGAACTTGCACCTGGGGGTCAAAAGCCGTAACTGGATTTCAGGGGTAAGGCTACCACTGCTGGTGACTTCAGTATTCTCCTCCAAGTAGGCTTTCATCTCAGGGTCCAAACAGCCCCCTGCTGTCCTCCAGGAAAACAGGGGGAACCCACTGCTCACAGCCTGCAGGAGACTCCAATGGCTTCTTGAAGTTTTCCAACCCAGGCTGAAAGCCATCAGACTTCTCCAAACCTCAGGCTCTGTCAGTGTTGCTGTTAGCAGATAGGAGGGTCTGTCTGCCTCCCCACTTAGTTGACACTGGAATTTTGGATCTCTGCAACAAACAAGCAAACAAACAAGACTGAAAATTCTTAGTCCATAACCTTCCACATAGCAAGAAAATAAACACGTGTATGCTCTAACAACTCAGAAGTACAAGTTTGTTTCAGAGGACAGCTTTGGCTTATCAATTTGGGTAAAGAAATCCAGTTTTTGGTTTATTTTACTGTGAAATCCTTTTAGTAATTCACTATGACAAAAATGCACAGACATTTTATTTTGCTACAATCTTCAAGAAAATGAGATAAAGTATACCTTTGTGTTTGTTTTGTTTTTAGGATAGACTTGTGTGGTGATATATTGTTTATGATTTATTAAAACCACTGGAGATCAAAATAGCAAAGCAACCACTCTAGTTAGCTATAAAAGCTAGGTGGTGGTAATATACACCTTTAATCCCAGGACTCAGGATTAAGAGGTAGATGAATCTGTTATTTCAAGGCCACATTGACTACACGAAATTGATCCAGTCCTAAAAGACACAGCTCACACAAAGGTGATCTCAGCACCTGGGATCACACACCTTTAATCCCAGCACTAGGAGGTGAAGACAGGAATAATATGGCTGGACAGTGAAAGGAATATAAAGAGGAGGAGACAGGTCTTCTGAGTCTTTTGCCTCTGAAGGTTTGTGGAGACAGGATTGCCATTTCAGCTGGGTAGAGGTAAGATCTACTGGCTTGGCTGCTTTGCTTCTCTGATCTTCAGCTTGAAGCTTGAACTCTAGTATCTGTCTCTAATTCTTTTATTTTTTCCTGTTACAGATTTGCTGAGGCTAAGCATCTCACAATTATAATCATAACTCCAGCTCGAAGGAATCTGGTGCCCTCTTCTGGCTTTGTTGGGCACCAGACACAGTCAGACACACAGGCAGATAGGCAGGCAGGCAGGCAGGCAGACACAGAGACACAGACACAGACACAGACACACACTCACACACACACACACACACACACACACACGGTACATTTATACACATGCAGGCAAAATACTCATACCCATCAAATAATCATATATAGACTTGGACTGTAGTCCAGGCTGCACTGGAATTCACTATGTAGACCAATCTGACATCAAGCTTGCAGTAATCCTCTGGCTTCTGTCTCTTGAATGCTGGCTGAGACTACAGATATATGCCATCACACTCAGCATGGATTTCATTATAAAAGGACACCAACTTCTAAGTTCCTATCAATATTGACTCGACTTTACCAAACCTAAACTTAAAATAGTTATAACCTAACGTACACCTGGTAAGGAGGAATGAGGAATACCATCTTTTGTTTGTTTGTTTTCTGGAACAGGGTCTCTCTACTATGTAGCTCTAACTGTCCTAGAACTCATGCTAACAGGCCGGGCAAGGTAGTGCATACCTTGCCTTTAATCCCAGAACGTGGGAGGCAGAGACAGGCAGATCTCCTTGGAAGAAAGAAGCAGTGATTAAAAAAAAGGGGGGGGAGGAACCGAGTGTTGGTGGCACACGCCTTTAATCCCAGCACCTGGGAGGTAGAGGCAGGCGGATCTCCGTTCCAGGACTGCCTCAAAAGCCACAGAGAAACCCTGTCTTGAAAAAAAAAACAAAAATAATAATAATAATATAAAATAAAAAAGGGGGGTTGAATTCAAGCCAATTCTGAAAGTTAACCCAGTAATACCTGACTGAGGTAGGGTTACTGTCTAGAAGGTCTTGATTGGGCTCAGTATTCTCTGCCAGTTAAAGAATTAAAAAGCAGGAAAACTTTCAAGCTCAACAGAACTGTGGTGAAATCTCAAACACTAAAAACAGGGGCAGACAGAATCAACAGTTTAAGAAAGGAAATACACTTGCAGCAAACACACTGAGAATAATACCTTCCTCCTCAAAGTAGAAGGGAGATTTGAGAAGCTGAAAATCCAGTCTCTTCTTGAGGATTAAGGTGTTTTGGGTCTCTGAAGTGTCTTCCTTCCCTAATTTCATGTTGATCATTTTACAGAAAGACAGGAATGGCTGGTTGGACAACTAATTGTGAAAACATGTCCTGTTCTGGCCTTGAGCTTACTGAGCCAGTCCATCAGTAAGGAGAAAAAGCTCACAGAGCCTTTGTTTTAAGTTGTCAGGCTTCTGTCTCAGGTCAGAACCATGAGGAAAACCCACCCATCTTGGGAATTTCCCGCCTTTATTACCCAGGCATTGCCTCTCCTAATCCCTCAGTAGGTGGACTGCCCTCCCTTTACAATAAGACAGACGGACCGAATGAACAAACCGCCTGGAGAGAAGGTGCGGCATTAAAAGAGCTTGCTTCTCTTCTGCAGGACCAGGGTTTGGTTCCAAGTGCCAAAGTCCCGAAGTGTGTACTTGAAACTTTAGCTTCTGGTGACACACATTCTAGTCTCCAGTCATTCACGTACACGTACATGTACACGCACACGTACACGCACACACGCACCTGTGCATACACGTGTGCACACACAAATAAGTAAACAAGCTAGTAAATAAGAAGGTTAAATTCCAAACAGTGCTTGTGACCACGTTACTTTCCTAAGGGGGGAGGGGGACAGGACTCTACTTTTAAAGGGGTAGTGCTGTGCGGTTCTTGTGGCCTTACCTGATTTTTTTCTGGAGCCTCACGGGCAAAAGAAAAAAAAAAAATAATGCACACGGCGTTTCCTTTCTCGGGAGAGGAAGACAGAATGCAGCGGCCCCTGGGAAAACACAAAGCAGCCGGAACCTGGAGGCGGAGAAACGCGGAACGCGCAGCCGCCGCCAGCACACACCAGCTCCGCCCCTCTTCCTAGCTGTGCTTTGTTCTGGGGCTCTCTGACTTCTCCAGGCTGCAGGGAAAGTGAAAGCTCTTCTGTAACCTTGAGGAGACTTTGAGACTAGGACCGGTGTCCCCAGATGAGTCCCTATAGACCTGGAACGCAACTGCACAGTTTGTGTGCGCCGTGTCTGGCGAATCCTGATTTATAAAACCTCCTAAAGAACTGTAGGCAGCAAGCACGGCATGCCATGCACTTTTAAGAGTGGGTAAACCTTTTATGACACATTCAGTTGCGATAAATCATAATATGTGACTCCCCTATTGTAAAGTCACAGCCTAAGGCGATTTTTCAACCTGTGGGGCTCAGGTTCTGAATCTCTTATATCCACTTAGATTTCCCACTGGCCCCTCAACTCACGACTCCAAAATTAACCCATCTCACTTTCATTAATGAAAATATGCTATGATGTACAAGAAAAAAATCCCAAACTAAAAAAAAAAATGACAAGCTATGTTTCTGTATCTAAATTTACAATTTGAGAAATGCTCTTCAGATGCCTGGTCAAAATCTGAACAGAGCTCTGGCTCAGTCATTAAGTTTTTAATGTAACAAGAGACCCTGGGAACACTCAGGAGTGGAGGGAAGAGGTTAAAGGTCATACGGAGCAAGCTAAAAGTCAGCCTGGGCTGCCTGACACGAAATCTCAAAAGAAAACAACAACAACAAAAAGCTGGACCAATCTAGATGACTCCATGTGTCGGGTCCACTGCCTGAGTTGCACAGAGCACACACCACAAATAAATAAATGAAACAAAAACTTTAGAAATCTGTATTTAGGGGTTGCAAAAATGGCTCAGTGGTTGAACATGTGTAGTGCTTGCAGAGGACTGAACTTTCCTCTCATACATCCCCCCCCAAAGAGTGGTTCACAATTGACTGTGATTCCTGCTCAAGGGGACCCAATGTCTCTGGCCTCCCTGGGCATCTGCACTCATGTATGCAGACACATACAGATGCACAGAATTAAAAGCAGAAATGAATTTTTTTAAGTACCATGTGTAGTGATTCATGCCTCTAATCACACCACTTAGCCAGTAGAGGCAGGCGAATCGCTGTGAGTCCAGGGCCAGCCTAATCGACAGAGTGAGTTCCTGTCTCAAAAAAAAAAAAAAAAAGGAGGATTTAAAAAATAAAAAAATCTGAGTGGTAATGGTGATGGTACATGCCTTTAATCCCAGCACTCAGGAGGCAAAGGCAGCTAAATCTTTTTGAGTTCAAGGCCAGCCTGGCCTACAGAGTGAGTTACAGGACACCCAGGACTGCACGGAGAAACCCTGTCTCAAAAAAAAAAATAAAATAAAAAAATTTAAGAGTCTTGTCTTTCTATGCTAAATGTGCAGTTGTAGTGTTATGGGTCTTCTGCTTGGATCTCAAACAGCTCAAACAACAAGTCAATGAAAAAAAGGTTATTGTAATCAATTCCTCTACTGATCCATAAGGAACACAGAACAAAACAAAACAGAACAGAACAGACTTGGGAGCCAAACTGTGACCCCAAGCCAGAATACTACAGAGCTTTTAACACAAAAAAACGCAAATCATAATTTCATCAATCAGGATTCAGGAATTGGGGATTCAGCTAGGGACATTACTTTGTTGTTCACTTCCCCTATTCTCATTGTTTTGTTTGTTCACCTGTGGCTGTGTGGCTTGCCCCACATTCATGTCTCAACTTACCAAACAGGATGTCAGTTACCCAGGGAGGTCTTGGGAATTTAAACTTTATTTGACCTCTATTCAAAATGGAAGTCTTACTTAAAATGATTTACATCACCCCCTTGTCTTTGTACATTATTCAAATCCTTGATTATCTGTTTCAGAGCATAAGGGATTGTATTGGGCCCTTAGGACCATGAACTTAACTGAGTCAACTCTAGATGGCCAAATTTAACTAAGACATTGAGGATGCGAGGCTCTATGAGAAGCAGGAAGAAAAGGAGGGCCGATGGTCTTGGTAAGGTGGTGAGCAAGGGGATCAAAGAGATCCTGGGACCAATTACTGGACAGTCTCCTTTGTTCCTCCCTATCCATCAGTTTTGTTTTTACTTTGGCTAAGGTGTCTTGAACAATCCCAGAATGGTTGTCATAAAAACAACAAGTTTTAGTCTGGAGAGATGGCTCAGAGGTTAAGAGCACTGGCTGCTCTTCCAGAGGTCCTGAGTTCAATTCCCAGCAACCACATGGTGGCTGGAAACCATCTGTAACAAGATCTGGTGCCCTCTTCTGGCAGGTAGAACACTGTATACATAAAAAGTAAGTAAACAAATCCTTAAAAAAAATATGGCCTGTAAGATTTGTTCAAAGAAAAAGCTGTCAATCTCAAGCAAGTTCCTATACTCTGGATATCCCCTAATGTAATAGACACATGAATGGCCCAAAGCCATTTATCATCTACCTGGCCTAAGGTTATCATGATGATATATGAGTCTTTTCCTGGAGTGAGTATAGTTACAGTCCCTACATTGTGGTGATATATTATTTATGATTTATTAAGGCTTGCTGGAGGGTTCAGAAACTGAAGGCAGCCACAGGCCACAAAAGCTAGGCATATACAAAAGCATCCAAAAACCTTTAATCCTAGGACTCAGGATTAAGAGATAGATGAATCTCTGCATGTCGAAGGCCACACAGGGATACATGAAATTGAATCAGTCTAAAAGAGTAATGGATCACATGCCTTTAATCCCAGCACTAGAGGGCTATAAAAGAAGCAGAGTATGAGTTATTCATTCTCCAGTCACACTGAAGATAGGAGCATTCATTCTCCAGCAACGCTGAGGAGAGGCAGCAATTTGAGACTTGGTGAAGAGCTCCTGCATGGATCAGCCCTTTCAGCCTGAGCTAGAAGTGAGAGCTAGTGGCCAGATGCTTTGCTTCCCTGATCTTCAGCTTGAACCCCAATATATGTCTCTGGGTCATTTATTAATTCATGTTATACTACATAATAAGGGGGCTTAGGGTCCAAGCATAGCCAATACTACCAGAGCCAAACCATTAGTCCAAGGCTTTTTGCCTTCCTTTTAATGGTTCTCCAAGTATAATTAGGAGCCTCCAAGAAGAATAACACCATTATACCAAGCAACAGCCCCAAATGTATCATCATTAGCCTCAGGTGAATGGTGTGTTTAATCCTACTAATACCACCCACACCCTGAAATTCCAGAGTAGTCTTAGATATCTTCTATGGTAACCAATATGCTTTAATGGCCTACATTAATTATTATGAATAGTTTGTATGTATATGATATATACATGTGCATGTGGTACACTTGTCAAAGATTGTAGAGGCCAGTTGTCTTCCTTAATTCCTTCTCTAACTTTATTGTTTCATATTGGCTTTTTCTATGAACTTGGAGCTCCCTGTTGCAGCTAGACTGGCTGGCCAGCAAGCCCTGAAATCCACCTGTCTTCTCCTGCTCTCCTGTTCTGCACCCCTCCCCCACCTTCATAACTGAAATCCTAACACATGGTTATGTGTCTGAGAGACAGGTAGAAGGAATGCTGGGCTGGAGCTGGGGAATATGTCTTAGTAGCAGAGAACATGCCCAGCATGAGTAAGAACCTGGTTCCATCCATCCTGAACCACCACTGAACAAATAAACAAACAAAACCTACCCTTGAGAACTTAGCTGTCCCCAGCACATAGCTTCCCCTGAGTATACCCAATAGAAATATCATTTAGCACTGCCATTGCATTTCCTGTACACCTGCCTTCGTGAAGGCAGACCATCTTAAACTCTCCTACCTTTTGGCACAATATAGAAGAGCTAGAAATTCTATTAAGTGAAAGTTGAGAGTGGATATATGCTTAGGTTATCCAACATTACCAAACTAACTACTTTCCTGTTCCTGTGACAAAACATAACAAAAAACAACTTATAGAAGATTGTGGGGTTTTTTTTATTATTATATTTTCTGGCATACGGTTCCTGAGGGAGAGTCCAAAATAGCAGGGGAGGCATGACAGAAGATGGTCACATCTTCAACAACAAGGAGAAAATGAAAAGAGCTAACTGTAAGTGAAGTTGGGATACTGTCTTAGGGTTCTGTTGTAAAGAGATGCTGTAACCATGGCAACTCTTATAAAAGAAAACATTTAATTGAAGCTGGCTTACAATTTCAGAGGTTTAGTCCATTATCTTCATGGCGGCATGGAGGCAGACATGGTGCTGGAGAAGGAACTAGGAATTCTACATTTTAATCTGCAGGCAGCAGAAGCAACAGTATGCCACACTAGGCATACCTTGAGCATAGGAGACCTCAAAGCCCTCCTCCACAATGACACACTTCCTCCAACAAGATCACACCTACTTCAACAAGGCCACATCTCCCAATAGTGTCACTTCCTAGGGGCTAAACACTCAAACACCTGATTCTAAGGGGACCATACCTAGTCAAACTACCATATTCCACTCCCCAGCCTCCATAGGCTTCTAGCTATAACATAATGCAAAATTAGTCCAACTTCAAAAGCCCCCATGGTCTGTCACAGTCTCAAGAATGTTTAAAAGTCCAAGATTCAAAGTTTCTTCTGAGATTCATGCAATCTCTTAACTCTATAAAATCAAAATAATAAAAACAGATCACATACTTTCAAGATATAATGGCACAGGATATACATTACCATTCCAAAATGGAGAAAAGGCAACACAGTGAGGAAATACTGGACCAAAGCAAGACCGAAAACCAGCTGGGCAAACTCCATGTCTGATGTCAAAACGTTCTTCAGGTCTCTAACTCCTCTCATCTCTGTTGACTGCAACACACTTCTCTCTCTTGGGTTGGTTCCACTCCCTGTTAGCAGCTCATCTTGGAAGGTATCCTGCAGCATGAATAACAAAAACCCAGAGACAGATTTTGGGGTTAAAGCTGAAGATCAGAGAAGCAAAGCAGCCAGCCACTAGCTCTTACCTCTACCTCAGACCGAAATGGGCAA